AGAACACTACGTGTATACATGGGCATGCACACAGGCACACACGCGTGTATAAACCAGCTCATGCATGCACATGGCTCTTGCACGAGGCTCCTGGCGTCGGGGTGGCTGGCGTTACGGCTTGCGGGTCCCCTGGGCGCACAGCCAGCGTCTCCCTGAGGGAGTCCCCGTGACCCGTGTTCACGCGCTGCCTGGTTCGGGGATTCATGGACGCGGAGAAGCACCGAGGACACGCCTGGGCAGCAGGGCCCGGCCACCACCAGCCACCGGCCCCTGCCCCCTCGTGTCCCCCCGACGGCCGGGCCACCCTGGCCCCCAGCACCGCGTGGGGGCCGCTAAGCCAGCGCCTGAACCACGGAACCAGGCTGGCGGACCGTGGTCCGGCAGCGGCTCACTGCAGCCTCGACCTCCGGGGCTCCGGCAATCCTCCCGCCTTGACCTCCTGAGCGGCTGGGACTACGGGCGCCACCACGCCCAGCTCATTCTTTATAGAGGCGGGTCTCGCTACGTGGCCTGCGCTGCTCTCAAACTCCTAGCCTCAAGTTATCCTCCCTCCCGGGCCTCCCAAAGCACTGGGATGGCAGGTATGAGCCACCACGCTGGGCCCATTGTTTGGGTTCTTGTAAACCCACTGAATTATCTACTTCATTTGCTTATTTATTTTTTGAGTCGGAGTCTCACTCTGTGGCCCAGACTGGAGTGCAGTGGCCGCTCCCGGCCACCGCAGCCCCGACGTGCCGGGCTCCGGCGATCCTCCCGCCTCAGCCTTCCGAGTAGCTGGAACCACAGGCACGCGCCATCACGCTCAGCTAATTTTTTCATTTACTGTAGAGGTGAGGTCTCGCCAAGTTGCCCAGGCCGGTCTCAAACCCATGGGCTCAGGCAACCCTCTCACCTCGGCCTCCCAAAGTGCTGGGATAATAGGCGTGAGCCACCACGCCCAGCCCGGCGCGTTGGAAGCCGCCTCCACCCTCCCGGCCCGCCCGCAAAGGCCCCAGTGGGCCTCGTGGCCCTCACGCCGGTCCCTGGGGGGCCATGCTCAGGTTGGGCCTGGCACCCGGCCTCACCTGTGTACACGATGCCGTTGATCTCCACCGACATGCTGATACTGCTGGTGCCGTTGGCGCCGGCCAGGGTCACGGCCGCATCCTGGCGGCTCTCGGAGGCTGTGGGAAGAAAGCCATGAGTGTCGCCTCGGGCCCACCACCAGGGCTCTGTTGGGCGTCCATCTTGTCCCTGACTGCACAGAGGTAGGGGTTGCATCAGACACATCGAGGCTGTCACCAGTGCACACAGTAGGCACTCAATACGACATATATTTGCTGAGTGAGAGTGTATTTGTCAGGCCGGGTGCAGTGGCTCATGCCTGTGATCCTAGAGCTCTGGGAGGCCGAGGTGGAAGGATCGCTTGAGCCCAGTCACTCAAGTTCAGCCTGGGCAATATAGTGAGATCCCATCACTATTTTTAGAAAAAAAGGGTATCTGTCTATAACGTGGGGTTTTTTTATGATCATAAGTCATAGGAAAAGTGAGCACACCCAAATCATTTACTGTCTGTGCTTTTTTAGGGACAAGGTCTTGCTCTGCCACCAAGGCTGGAGGGCAGTGGCACAATCACAGTCACCACAGCCTCTAACTCCTGGCTCAGGCAGTCCTCACACCTCAGCCTTCTGAGTTGCTGGGACTACAGGCGTGTGCGACCCCACCTGGCTAATTGCTTGGTTTTTTTTTTAGTTGGGAGTCTCACTGCATTGCCCAGGCTGGAGTGCAGTGGCACCCTCACGGCCACCCCGGCATCGGTCCGTCCGCCTCAGTCTTCCAAGTAGCCAGAACGACAGGCACGCGCTGCCATACCTGGCTGATTTTGGATTCGTTGTAGAGATAAGGTCTCGCCAAGTTGCCTGGGCTGGTGTCAAACCCGCGGGCTCAGGCCATCCACTCGCCTCGGCCTCCCAAAGTGCGGGGATGACAGGCTGAGCCACCGAGCCCGGCCTCATTTTCAAAATTTTTCATAAAGACGAGGTCTCAGGGTGTTGCCCAGGATGGCCTGGAACTTCTGGCCTCGGGGAATCCTCCCACCTCAGCCTCCAAAATGCTGTGAGCACAGGCATGAGACACCGTGGCAGCCACCATTTTTCTTGTTGATTTGCAGAGACTCTTTACATGTGCTGGCCCCACGCCCCGCATTCTGTCCCACGTGCAGAAAAGCTGGAGGTCCGGGTACCTTGGCTGTTGATGCGTATGCTCATGGGCAGCTGGGCCGTCATGGCCAGGAAGTTCTGCTGCAGAGCCCGCTGCATGAGCCGCTGCTGCTCGTCGGCTACCAGGGCCATCTTCTTCTCGGGTGGCTCCCCAGACTCCAGCTTCTCCCGCAGCTGCTCCAAGGCGACGGCCTGGGCAGCCACGGCTGCCTGGGCGGCCGCTGCCTGCACTGCTGCTGCCTGGGCGGCCACCACGGGGTGTCCCGCCAGGGAGACGGGCAGGCGTCCAGGGACCGTGATGGGGATGGCCGAGTCCTCCTCTGGACGGGAAAGAAGAGGAGTTGGGGCCAGGAGGGACCTCCGGCAGGGACACAAGCCTCTGGTGTGTTTCCACGGACGGGGCGCGCACTCCCTCTCCAAAGGGCAGGTGGGTTTTGGAGCAGACACAGGGCCACGGCAGTCCCTCTGTTGTTCTTTCCTTTCTTTTTTTTTGAGCTGGAGTCTCACTCTGTCGCCCAGGCTGGAGGGCAGGGTCAGGCTCCTGGCCCCCGCAGCCTCGACCTGCTGGGCTCCGGCGATCCTTCCAAGTGGCCGGAACTACAGGTGCACACTACTGCGCCCGGCTCATTTTTTATTATTTATTGTAGAGACGAGGTCTTGCCAAGTTGCCCGGACAGGGCTCCAACTCCTGGACTCAGGCAATCCTCTGGCCTCGTTCTCCCAAAGTGCTGGGATTATAGGCTTGAGCCATCGTGCCCGGCCTCTTGTCTTTTTTAAGTCAGGGTCTCCCTCTGTCACCCAGGCTGGAGCGCAGTGGCCCGCTCATGGTCACCGCAGCCTCGACCTCCTAGGCTCAGGGGATCCTCCTGGCACAGCCTCCCAAGTAGCTGGGACTACAGGCGCCACCATGCCTGGCTAATTTTTTGATTCATTGTAGAGATGATTTCTCCCAAGTCACACAGGCTGGTCTCAAACTCCTACGCTCAGGCAATCCTCCTGTCTCGGCCTCCCAAAGTGCTGGGGCCCCAGGCATGAGCCATCATGCCCGGCCTAAAAATGTTTTTTAAAAAAGTATTACACATAAAAAAGAAAACTTAAATCAAAAAAAAGAGACTCAGCCGGGCTCAGTGGCTCAGCCTGCCATCCCAGCACCTTGGGAGGCCGAGGCGGGTGCATTGCCTGAGCCTGCGGGTTCGAGACCAGCCCGGGTAATTTGGCAAGACCTCATCTCTACAATAAAATAAAAAATTAGCCGGGCGTGGTAGTGCATGCCTGTAGTTCCGGCTACTGGGAAGGCTGAGGCGCAAGGATCGCCGGAGCCCAGCGGGTCGAGGCTGCGGTGGCCGGGAGTGGCCACTGCACTCCAGCCTGGGCAACAGAGTGAGAAGCCAACTCAAAAAAAACAACAGACTCTCATCAAACCCTCCATGTGTCTGCTGGGGCAGTTATAGAAGGATTCTAAAACCCCAAGAGAGGGGGCACAGGGCGCTACCAGTGATAGCTGCCATACACAGGGGATCGGAAGAACCGTGTTCAGAACAGCCTCTGCTACAGACAAGGTAACTAATGAACAAGGCCTAGATCAGACAGGAGTGCAGGGCTCAGTTAATCATGTCTGCCTCAGTGAGTGTGTGTGTGGGGGGGGGAGCCTGCTCTGGCCACCAGCAGGGAAGGGGCTGCTTGATCTGGAAAGTCGGCCTTGGCACGGAACTGGGCCGGACAGATTGATTAGTGATGTCTGCCGGCTCCCGGCTGTCATTGGGAAAACGGCGATTGATCAGCAATGTCTGCCACAGACGCAGTATACGCAGCCAAGCTGCTGCGTTTCGTGCCCACCCTGGGGTTCGTCATCCCGGGTACCCAGAGAAGGAAGGGGTGTCCCCCCGAGGCCAGGCGGCTCCTCACCCTTCTTGATCTTGGGGGCCGGCGTGATGGAGCTGCCGTTGGTGCTGGTGGCCAGGCCCAGGGAGGACACGGGCAGCTTGGGTGAGGACAGCATGCCATGCGCGCCCGGCGAGTAGGTGAAGAGCGAGCCCCCGAAGCTCTGGCGCCGGCCCTCGCGCCGGTTGCTGTCAATGGCGGCCTGGAGCTCGTTGGGGCTGCTGAGGCCGCGCTTCTCACACTCGTAGGGGTAGAGGTACTTCATGTACCTGTAGGCGGGCAGGCGAGTCAGGACGGCCGGGCCACCGGGGACTCCCGTGGTCTGAGCAGAGCCCGTGTTCCCGGGGGCCCTGCCCTGCGCCCCACGGCCACCCGCACACCCTCCGGGGCGGGCGGGCCCCACCCACCGCCCCATGCTCCCAGGCCCTCGGCACGGCCCCCCCCCCC